AGAGACATGAAGAAGAGGATTTTGCACAATAGGTGACCTTTAAAGTCCAAGAACTGGTCACTTAAACATGTTAGCACTCTGATTTTACTGTGGTACTCAGAGTCACTCTAAATACAATGATTTTTTTTAAATATTGTCAATCGTTTGGCTAAAACACATTCAGTTGCTTGACCTATATATATATATCTAAAAACTGGTCACCTAAATATGTTGGTACTCTACACATATTTACTGTGGCACTCAAAAGTCATTCTAGATATCGTATTGAATGAGCAGGAGTAAATCCTTTTTGAAATTCCTTTAAATAAAAAGGACATAATAATTGGGCTAACACTGAAATGTAATTTATTGAAGGTACCCTACACACACGTGTTAAGTTTAAATGTATTTTATGCATGTTCATCCTCGAGGTCTAACAAAGGTGTTCAATGCATTTCCTTCCTTGTCAATGATTTGCTTAAGTGTGATTTAGTCTGTGTGTGAGTGTGTGTAACAGTTCCTGTATTGTTTGTTTACATCCATGTTTGCTAGCTTAGAGTCTTCAAGTGCTTGAGCTTGTTCCTGCCACCTAACATCTATTTCACCTACAGACCTTTAAATAAGTCAGACCTTTAAATAGCACAAAACCACTGGCAGGAATGTGTATAACGTTGCTCTGTAGCACCAATACTTGACAACAACTCCGAGGGGGGGGGGGGGTCGACTTTTAAACCAGTTTGTCTGAACTGGAAACTGCAGCACGCACAGAAATGTTGTTACACCAAGCTGTGAGCACACTAAGCTATACATCCTTACAAATCACGTGTTGAGCCTTTCAATACACCTACTCAACCTAGACGTGTGTGCTTCTTTTTTAGTGCTTATTATTGTTCTCCTGGCGACCATGCTGATGCTCATGGCATTAGTTAGCAGAAGACCAGTAAAGACCTCATAAAACCAACATCACGTCCATCTTAAAGGACAGAGAACAAGACTCCATAGGTCGATGTGATTGCTCGTATATCCCTTAATTGAAGTCCTTTTAAATTGTGCCAGTTTTGAATGATTTATACGTTTCTTTTATTTGCATATTGACTGGTAAATGTGCCATTTAATTAGTTTTTACGACCGCTGTATTCGTCTGCCTGTATTGTCTGTGTTTTATCTGTTGCAACAGTGTTCATGCTGCCCTTCTTGGCCAGGTCGCTCTTGAGAAAGAGAATGTAATCTCAATGAGACTTTTACCTGATTAAATAAAGGATATCTATGTTCGAGCTTTTCATAGTTTTTTCCACTTAATTGTCCAAAGAAAATAACACCGAAAAGAAAACAGATTCTTTACTGTTTTTAGACAAAGACTCGTAAAAAGTGTTTTTACCAGCTAAGGGGTTGTTTTTCCTTTAGTGTGGTAGCTTGTTCACTTGAAGGCCTCTCTGGTTTTGGGGACCTCCATGTGCCTCGAGTCTTCGCTCTGCGGTTAAAACTTACAAGCTCGGCAATCAGCCTCTAAACAAACCGTGACATTTTCATGCATATTTAACAGCGGAGTCACTGAGCAGCCACAGATTTGGGCCCCGATTTGTGGAAAAAAGGGGTTTGTTTTGCAGAGTGCACTGACCTGAACTTTTGGAGGCTCTTGGTGAAAAAAAA